CAAACAGGCTCCATACTCAGCATGGAGCTGGACGTGGGGCTCGACATGGACTCCATGAGGGGCTCAACCCCATGACCCTGGGATCGTGACCTGAGCCGAAATCAAGAGTCAGACACTTAACTGACTGAGTCACCCAGGTGCCCCACAGTGAAGTTGTTTCAAAAATACATGTGTGTGGGGAGTACCTGGGTGGCTCTGTCAGTTGAGCGACTCTTGATTTCACTTCGGTCATGATCTCACAGTTTGTGAGTTTGAGCCCCTCATGCGGCTCAGAGCTGACAGCGCAGAGCCTGCTTGGGATTCTCTCTCTCACCTCTTTCTGCCCCTCCCCCACTAGCAATTGCTCTCTCCCCATAAATAAATAAATAAATAAAGAAATAAATAACAACTTTAAAAAACACATGTGAGGGCCCCTGCACTGAGCAACCGACTCTTGATTTTAGCTCAGTCAGGACATGATCTTGCAATCATGAGACTGAGCCCGACGTTGGGCTCCACACGGGGTATGGAGTGTGGTTGGATTCTCCCTCTCCTTCTCTCTCCACCCCTCCCCAGCTCACACACTCACTCACTCTCTCTCTCTCTCTCAAAATAAATAAATATTAAAAAATACATGTGGCACTTAAACAGCCTCTGCTACCTACTAAGTATTCAGTTATTACACTCTCCTCACTTCACAGAAGCGAGAAAGCCCCGAGAGCAAAACATGAGAAATGTTAACATCAAGAAAGTAAGGACCATCGCAGAATAAAGGACCATCCACTGCTTACTGCGTGACTTGGGGAAGGCCCCTGAGTCACCACAGACCTGGAGCTACTCTGACAGCTTCACCCTCTAGGGCATTTCTCAAACCCAGCCAGGGGCAGCCCTCCTGAAGTTGGTCTGGCTACTTAAGTGGACAGCCTTAAGCAGGGAAGGCTCTCCCTCAGGGTGGGTGATGGTTGGCCAAAGGGGTGGCTCAGTAGGTTAAGCATCTGACTCAGTTTTGGCTCATGGTCTCAGAGGTTCAGGAGTTCTAGCTGGGCATCTGGCTTGCAGAGCCTGCTTGGGATTCTGTCTCCCTCTCACTCTGCCCCTCACTCGCTCTGTCTCTTTTGAAATAAACTTTAAAAACATTAAAAAAAAAAAAAAAAAAAAAAAAAAGAAGAGGGCCTGGATATGGCCAATGAGCCTCTGGATACAGCCTCCCGACCCCCCTCACCCCCCCATGGTAAAGTTAGGACACGGTGGTCTCAGTCTGACTCAAGACAGCCTGTACAAAAAAAACCTGCTTTTGGTAGAAGGAAAGACCTCTGCTCATGACAGGGAGAAGCAGGGGCCTGCAGCCACCTGTGGGTGGACAGAGGTGGGAGGGGCCACCAGAAAGGGACAGAAGGGGGGGGCGGGAATACTATCTGGTCTGTGGCTCTCGTTTCATTTTCATTTTCCTACAAATCTCCTGGTCTTCTCCATTTCCAAAACTCTTGGTGGGGCACAAACATGCTAATTATAGCCTCTGCCTCAGTCCCTCAGGTTTTTAGTTTTGTTTTGGATTCTGTCTTTGGGCAGCGGCTGCATTTGCCAGCACCCCTTTTCTGATGATCCTCTTAGATGGGGCCAAAAGAAAGCTAATACTTAACAAAAAGGGAAGTCCTTCTCAAACCCTCCCCAAACCTGGTCAGTAGCTGAGAAAAGAGGAGAACTAAATCTACTGGAAAGAGAAGATCAGAGAAGTAAGGAAATCAATGCAACTCTCGCCCACGCAAGCCCATCCCAGGTCCAGCAAACAGCGGCTCTAGCAGCCGCTCAAAGGGACGACCTCGTCCAAGAGTGCTGGGAGGAGAGACCCGACAGCCGACAAAGGCTGAAAACGGGAAGGGTTCCTCCTATCTGGCAACGGGCACCTGCCGCCAGGGGCTGGGCTCCCAGACCGCCGGCACGCTTCAGCCAGCGCTCCTCCTGGGAGGCGCCGCATCGCGAAGCCAGGCGCCCTCCCGCGCCGGGAGCAATCGCCACCCTCACCCACAAGCTCTTGCAGTCAGGACCCCAACCTCAGGCACACACCGAGTCTCCGAAGGGTGTGTGCGCGCCCGGACTCTCCATTGGCTGTCGGCTTCGACGGCCGGTTTAATCGTTACCGGAGCCGCTTGGGCGGATCCTCACTTTGAGGCAAAGCCGCAGCTCAGAGAGTAGCTGCGAGGCTGGCGGGGGTCAGCCCCGGCAACAGGCGAGGCACCGCGAGCACAGCGAGGCCAGCGGCGGAGGGGCGCTCGGGCAGCAGGCGGAGGCGCACTGGTGCGGAGCCCCCAGACCCCAGCACCGTGTGTGAGCTCGGCCGGCTCTCTCTCCTTCTCCCTGGCCCGGGCGTCTCCCACAAGCACACTCACCTCCGGAGTGGGGGTGGGGGGGCTCCCTCCCATCCAGGACCGGGCTCACCTCCGATCCAGCCCGCCGCGAAGTCCTCCAGCTGGAAGCTGCCCATGGCCACAGTAGCGGCGCCTCGCGCTCCCGCAGCCGGGTGGGTGCCCAGTGAGAGTCCGCGGGGCGTTCCACCCGCCGGCTCGCGCTCGGGGGAGGAGGTGGGAGACTCGGGCGCGCCGTAGGTCCTACTTCGAGTCCCGTCTCCGAGCACAGGACCCGCGGGGCGCCAGCGCTCACCTCTCCGAGGGCCCGTGGCCGCTGCTAGCACGCCCCCAGCGGACCTTAAAGGCGCCGCACCTCGCCCGTCCGGGACGCTGGGGCCCGCGCGGGGCGTTCCCTTAGCCCGCCCTTCTCCCGCGCCCACTCCTTGCCACCACACGTCCTCGGCGCCTCGAGGCCCAGATGCCCGGCCTCGCCTCGCTCAGTCCTCCTCCGAGACACTGCAAGTGGTGTCCGGGACAGTTTGGCCGGCCTCATTACAAGAGAGAAAGGCCTTATCCAAGGTCGGGAAGTATTTGATTACAAACACCAAGACCTGTGATAGGATTGTTTACCTGTGAGGACACATCCTCTTTCCAAAAGAGCACCGAAAGAATTCTAACGGAATGAGCGGCTTGCAGCTCGGCCACAAGTTCTTAGTTGTGATGATCTGATTGGAAGCCAGAGACAGTTTCACTAGACACAGGACACACGATTTTGCCCGTTTTAGAGGTTAGGGACTCTTTCTCGACACACCCTCCACACCTCTCTGGCTAGCCCCAGGTTGCAGAACCCTATCTATCCATGAGTAACAAATAGTGTGTGGAAAGCACTTAGCCCCAGGCTAGGCTCCAAGTCAGCTCTAAATAAACATTAGCTATGAGGATGTCTTCAGGCCAGGGTCTGTGCGTGGAAGGAGGGGGGTGCTTTATGCGTGGTCCTGCTTCCCCCTCATAGCAGCTGTGAGCAGGCATTACTATCCCCCCCAGGGAGGGTCAGCTTTGTATCAACTTGGCTGGGTGGGCAACAGCACCCCGTGATTCAGTCAAACATTAACGGACCGCGAAGGTATTTTTGTAGGTATAGTTAACACCTAAAACCAGCTGATTTTAAGTAAGGGAGTTTATCCTTGATCATCTGGGTGCCTTCCACCCAAGCTGTTGAAAGGCCTTACAAGCCAAGTGGAAGGGTGCCTGGCTGGCTCAGTTGGAACAGCATACAACTCTCGATCTCAGGGTTGTGAGTTGGGTGTAGAGATTACTTACAAATACAATCTTTTAAAAAAATGTTTATTTATTTTTGAGAGAGAGAGAGAGAGAATCCTGGTGGGGGAGGGATAGAGAGGGGATAGAGAGCCTGATGCAGGGCTCGAACTGATGAACCATGAGATCCTGACCAGAGCCAGAGTCAGACTTTTAACCGACTGAGCCACCCAGGTGCCCCCAATGTTTTTGTTTGCTTTTTGTTTTGTTTCGTTTTGTTTTTAAAGAACAAAATGGAGGCATCCGTGAGGAAAAGGAAATTTCACCTGTAGAATGCAATGTCAGCTCCTAAGCATTCCCAGCCTTCCAGCCTGTGCTCCAGATTTCAGATTTTCCCAGCTAGACCCCACGCTTACCTAATATATATGTCTCCTGCTGATTGTTTCTCTGGTAGACCCCTCTGTTCACCTGACACAATCTTGACAGTACAGATTCCAATCAGCTGCGGGCTTTCTCTTCCCCCTCCCAGCCCCAGGGGGCTTTCTCTTCCCCCTCCCAGCCCCAGCGGGTGATGCTTATGGTCACGCAGCCTGGTCCCACTCAGCACCCTGGGCCCAAGCAAGACCTGGGGATTCAGGGTCATGTCTAATTTCCAGCTCTCCAGGGGCCCAGCTCCCTCCAGCCCCGGGTTCAGCCTACACTTTCCACCCTGGGTTCCCAGGAAGGCAGAGGGGTAGTCCTCTCTTCCTCAGGTATCCTCTCTGCAGCGAGGCCCTGAACCCAGGACGGACCCAGCTTGGCCTGGCTGTGTGGAGAGGCCTCTTTTGGTGCACTGGGAGTTCCTGATCCCCTTCCAAGAAGGAAGATGATTCGATGCTAATGCCCGGCAGGAACCCAACCTTGGCACCCAAAATGGTGAGGGGATGGTCTAGAAGAAGGGGGCTCTGCTGGGCCTGCTCTTCTCCCACCAGCACATCCACATCACGTCACCCAGGCCTCCTTCTTCCCAAGCAAGACAAAGTCTGACCACTGAGGCTTGATCCTAAGGGCCAAGAGGCTGCTGAGGAGTCGGGGCTCACCATCAGCACTGGCCTACCTACCAGGCCTGGGATGTGTGCCGGGACAGTAGAATAAATAAAAGGTCTCCAAAGAATGGCCCTTTTTTTACCATCACTATTGAGCAAGTCAACAGGTCGAAACACCCACTCTCTTGGAGGACCACCTACGGGGTGCTAGGGCGGACTGTCATTCCCCGGTCCCGTGTCGGCACGAACTGGCAGGCAGTGGCTCCGGCAGCTCTGGGACAGCCGCCTGAGTCCCGAAATCCGCTGCTTTGCACCGTTCATGAACGCGGCAGGAGGGAAGGAGTAGACTCCTTTCCAGAAGGAACCACAGTCCATGTTCCATTCCCAAATGTATGTCACAGGTCTGCCCATGAGGCACACCGACCGCCAGGCAGGGGGAGGACCCAGGTCCAGCAGCAGTCAAGGGCCAGGCCTGGAGAATCCCAGACCACCAGGCTGTGGGATCCGGCCTGCCACTTACACCTGGCTTCCCTGCTTTGGAGCATTTGCCATGTCGCCATGCACACGTGTCTTCTGCCCTCGGGAGAGAGCAGGTACAGAAACTAAGGCACAGACAGATCAGCTTCCTGGGTTGCCAGGGCAAGAAAAACACCCCTCACTTCCTTGCTCCCTCAACTCCTTCCTGGAAGGTAGCCCCCAGGAGCATTTCCCACTGCAGTGGTGGGGGAGGGGGGGCGGTGCACACGGGATGGGCTGACGTTTGACAGCCACCACTTCCCACCTCTCATCTGCCCTTTCAGGTAAGGACTTGCCTGAGGACCCACTGTGTGCCAGCCTCTGTTCTTGGGAGCTGTCAGAGAGGAGACACTTTGTCTGAGCTGCCACACGGAGGTGGCTGTGGGAGCACTGGGGAGGGACCTGTGTGGCAGGCAGGGCTCAGGGAAGGCCCCCAGGCCTCGAGTCTCCCAGCTGCACTTGAGTCCATCCAGCCCCACGGCTCTAGCTCCTCAACTCTCCCTCGGCCAAGCCCTCGCTCCCCACCTGCCGAGCCAAGCCCAGCGGAGAAGCACAGTCCTGAGCCGGCTGCTCCAGTCAGTCTGATGACCTGTGGCCGTGCCCCTGTCTCCTGCTCTCTCGCCTCCTGGAAGCCCATCCCCCCACCCCTCAGCTGTTCTCCCCTTCTCTGCTGCCCTGCTCTCACTCCTTGGTGCTTCCTCCCCGCTACTTCCATGGGGGGGGGGGGAGGGGAGAGGGGGGAGGCCAGGAAACCAGCACTCATCTTCCACTCAGACCTCACTTCTGAGCCTGCCTACCTTAAAAAATTTTTTTTTCAATGTTTTTATTTATTTATGGGACAGACAGAGACAGAGCATGAACGGGGGAGGGGCAGAGAGAGAGGGAGACACAGAATCGGAAACAGGCTCCAGGCTCTGAGCCATCAGCCCAGAGCCCGACGCGGGGCTCGAACCCACGGACCGCGAGATCGTGACCTGGCTGAAGTCGGACGCTTAACCGACTGCGCCACCCAGGCGCCCCTGAGCCTGCCTACCTTTACTCAACACCTCCACTTGGGTGACCCCACAGCATTTCCCATGTGACACGTCCCTGATGACCTCTTTAACTCCCCAAGCATGCCTTACTCCGTGTCCCCACCCAGCCAGTCACCCAGGCCGGATCCTGGATGCCGTCTGCGATTCCTTTCTCTCCCTGGGCCCCATCCCAACAGTCATCTCCTCCATGGCTCTGACATGCAGCTCTTTCTGACGTCTCTGCCTGGATCATGGTGACAGAGGCCCTCTGCCCCGTCCCGTCTACCCTCCAGCTGCTGCCCGCCTACCCTCCAGCTGCACCTGCTGCAGCAGTCCTGCATTGGCGTCAGATAATGGGAGCTCTCGGGTCTCTTCCCTGATTCTGAAGGGAAGGGAAGGAGCATACAGTGATTTTCTAGCTGCTATTTGAGCTTCTCGTTGACAGTTCTTTGAGAAAGTCTATTCAGAGCATGTTCAGACTGTATTTGGCCCAGTGTCTATTCAATGTGACTCCCAGTCAAGAAAAGAGGTGTAGGGCTGTGAAGTGGGGCCAAGCAGCCACTGGGAGGCTGGGCGGCCTGGGCTCTGCTTCTGGTGCTGCCGCTGCCCTTGGGCAAGTCCAGGCCTCAATTTCCCCCTCTGTCTTTTGGAGAGAGAGTGCAGATGAGTTCCCTCTTAGGTAGTGTCCAAAGGGTCTGAAATTTCTGGGCCACAGCACCACCAGATATGCGTGTCTTGTCAAGATGTGCCAGCAGAGGGCGCTGCTGTACAGCACTTGGGACTCCCAGGAGTGGGGGGGGGG